TTTAGAAATATGTACCTACCAGCATATAAAAATCATCGTGTCCTTTATGTCAAGTGACCGAAGTGTGATTATCAGTCAGCTATCCTTTTATGCGCAAGGGTAACAATTTCAAGGTCGTTGAAATCGCAACAGGCGTTCCCGACATTGTATGAAAGAGCGCGGATGGGGTTACGAACGTCTTTGTTACGGCTACCGTAACCCTGACGATTGTCACCGTCAATGTTCGTCGTCCGTAGTGTGCGCATTTGCGCTCGACGATATCTCTGCGGTGTCTCTCTCTCGCTCTACACTATACCCCACTCGTTTATACACCAAGGTTGTGTATGTAATGATGTCAATGTCGGGTTATGGTAGTTTCTGTGTGATTGGCCTTCTTTGCAGGGGTATCACAGCCGTACATCTCGAAGCTTTTGAATGGAAATCATCGGGAGTTATCGTTGAGATGCAGGAAGAATATCTACTGCTGGTACTTGAACTGTCGGCGTCATCCACACAAGCTTTGTGAGTTACTCTAACAGCATTTCTCTAGTATAATAAGATTGAGAGCGTGCTTTTCCCTACTAGCTAACGCAATCATTTTTTCTGCCACTTGCAGTTCTATTTAACTTTGAAATCGATTAATAAAGCAGTAACTTCTTGAGGTAGAAGACGTTCCTGCTCAAACAAATCAGCCATTTCGCAACACAGCAATAACGCGCTGTACTAGTTGGAGTTTCACAATGATATAATATGTGGCTCCCCAATTACTTTTCGAAAAAGTCAAGTATCTATCCCAGGTGGTAATGAGAGCGACTATGTAAAAATAAGTTTGTGCCATACTAGAAGATTGGAAACAGAGGATCCATAGCTTTTTGTAATACTAAAAGACCAAAAAAATTTGCAGCTAAAAATTTACCTTTCTCACTGAGGTAGTATGGTACTCTAAAAGTCTGAAAAAAAATTCAGACGTATCTGTCATGATATGAATTTTACAATCTAGCGCTAAAGTTTTGCAGCTCATAAATAATCTCCGATATTCGTACATTTCCAGTACCCTTGAGATTATGTGAAAAGTGAAACTGTAAGAGTTCAAGAACATTTAGGTGCATTAGCTCGTGTAAAACTGGTACCTATCTTCCGGACTCTAGATCAAACTGCGGAATATATGGTCACCACATCTAAACGCAATAAATTCGAAATGCTGAAATAGGGATATTTTGTGCAATAAGTACCCAGTATAGTACAGTAGTATATTTTGGTGCTTGTCCATAATCGTAGGACGTGCTTAATGTTCACCTCACGTTGGAGAAATTGTGATGACTTGATAGCTGAGTCGTTTTTTCCAGCCCAGAGCATTTCCCAAATAATGCGAACAGTAGTAAGTGTAGAGGTCGGAATGCCTCCACTTTACTGTCGCAAGAATTTCAACACTAAAAAAACCTTACTTGCTACTTAATGAGAAGCCATATTTTCGTTGTGCACATGAATCTGTACTGATCGTACCATGCGTATTCATAAAAAAATAATATTTAACTCCATCTCTATAGCTTTTCAATTTCTAGAGATTATCAACTACTTGTAGATTTCAAACATGTTATCTTGAAATGTTCTATTTGACCCCGATTATTGAAAAACGCTGATTTCTGCCTCGATGACTCCATAATGCGAGAGAGGAGAGGTTTGATGTGTCTTCTTTTAGTAGCATAGTTAATTTATTATATAAACTTGCCACAAATCCAGCAAATCTTCGCTACCATTCCAAAGCTATCCTAGCAACCAGATCGCACTCAGCTTTTTTATACACTTCCTGTACAAATCCATTTGAACTTTGCTGTTGTTCAGAAGTGTAGAAAGATTTCCCACTTATCCGCCGTAGTTTACAAATCGTCAGGTGACGACGTCCTATCGTGCTGATACTTCACTATCATTGCTATGCTAATGAGAACACCATCGCTACTTCTATGTACTTTTCTAAGCTCACAGAAACCCAACAGGCTCCAAAAAAA